GCAACCGCCTAAAAAATAAAATATAGTGCAAACTATTAAATGGACAGCTTCAAAGTTGGAATTAAAACATAGGTAGAAAATAAGAAAGATCGGAACTATGTTATTCTAAATAGAGAAAGAAAATTCCACACTATCCAAGGTTTACATTACTAATTCACACAAAAAATTAATAGTTTACTGTAAACTAAGGAATTAAGACATCAAATGAACCTGAAAGACATATTTGATAAGCAATCTATTGTTATCACCATTCTACAACAAAATCTTTAAGAAAAGTTATTATTATTGTTATTTTTATTTCTAAAACAAACATAACTAGTCTTCTTCAATAATTTCTCACTGTAATTCTAACTTATATTTAACTACAAACACATAAAACAAAATAACAAAACCAGATTAGTATCCATCAATTTGCTTTTTCAGAGGACCACAAAGAACATTACTAACGCAAAAAAAAAAAAAATCACACCTATGTACTTAACTCCTTCATAAAAAGATATCATATTAGCGAGAAGAAGATGGGAAGTAAAATGAAAAAGAGCTTTTACCTTGTGTTGAGCAGCAAACTAAAGCTTAGACGTCAAAGATTCTAACTTTTAAATTCCTCAAACTCGAATTCAAAACCGAAAACAAAAAGATGAAAGAAGATCGATTTTTTTATGAAATCCAATGCTTGAAGTGTGCTTTATCCCTCTTTTTTGTTTGTTCTCTGATGATTTTTTTTATGTTGTTCCTGTCCCGTTTTTGGATGGATTCGAATGAGAACCGAAGGGCTGATTTTATAGTCGAATTTGGGGGAGGCTTCCACTCTCAAACCCATTAGATTGAGGGTGTAACCAATCAAAATCTGATGGTTTCGCGTCCCACACTTTGCAGGAGGAGCAATAATGATGATCGAGATTTCTAGGCCTGCTTTGGGTCAGAAATAGATCGAAAAAGATGCAAAATTGATAGCAAGGGGAGTGTGATTGATGGACGACAGAGATAATGTTGGAAAATGCAGGAAATCGTTGTTTTTCGGTGGTCCAAAGTTGTTATTGATGGGAGGGGTCATCTGGCATGGGGAAGGATGAGGCGTGCAACGTCTGGGGAAGGAGGAGAAAGAGTAAGGGGCATCGTCCTTTTCTTGAAAAAGTAAAGAGAACGTTGGGGAAGATGGAGAACTAGGGGGAGTGGTCTAGGGAAAAAGTTGGGTGGCTTGTACTATTTTGGGGAAAAGAAGAAGCAGACGTTTCTTTTTCTTTATGGGGAAGGTGAGAAACGCTGGGGTCTTTAGGGAGGAAGAAAGGTCTTGACTAATTTGGGCCGTCCGATCGTTTGATCGGACGGTTAATAAATATTATGGAGTTTTTTAAATAATAATAATAATTATTATTATTATTATTATTATATATATTAACTAATGATAAAAGCTTAATTAACTAGGACCATTAGATTTAATCGTAGGGTCAAGATTTAAGCTAAAGAAGCACAATCCATGTGCTCGCCTACGTGGCATACACGGATTGGCCGGGTTAAGAAGACTTGGATTGCCAAATTTGCTCAAATTAAATTCATTTAAATTATAACTACTTTCTTTATTAAATAGCTATAAGAGATAATTATTTTGCAAAATTAGCTTATTTGATAAAATTAGTCGTTCTTAAAATTAAATTAACATAAATTAGTAACTCATTAATTAATTAAGCTTTCTAATTTTAAACAATGTACGAAAAATAACCATTGCGACAAAAGAAATTATATTTGAACAAAAATAGATTCAATTCTTAAAACGACACTTATTTAAAAAATGAGAAAGTAAGTAGTAATATAATATATTTAATTTTTATAAGAAATTGAAATAAATTTATGAGGTAACAATAAATAATTAAAAAAAATTCTTGTTCCTATAAAAATTTCATTATTATTATTATTTTACTTTAGTTAAGTGTGGAGAGCCAAAATTGGGTGTCAACAGCTTGCCCCTTTCTTTGTCCATGGAAGAGAGTAATGAAGACGTGGGCAAAGAAATATTGACACAATCCAATTTTAGGCAACCCACCAAAATACACTTTGAGCAATAACTTGACAAGAATGTTTATGGAGTTATGGCCGAAATTTGGCTTCCGAGCTGCCTACATATCTCAAGTTTCATAAGAAATCAAGCCACATATAATTCGAGAACATAGCAAATTTTATTAAAAATTTTCCCAGTATCGAATTATGGTAATATTGAAATCTTTCGGTGGTGAGGTATGAAGAGATTAGCACGAATAGAGGGATGAGATATAGTTCTAAAGAAACTTGAATGAGAAATGCTCCGTAGCAATTTCTACTGAAGACTCCAGGTGGATAGATGAATTTTCAAAAGGATTCCCCAGTGTCGAGTTACAATGAACTGAGACATGAAAGAGCTATAAGTGAAATTTAAATCTGAACTTCTGAAAATCGAGTTGAGTTGAATTTGGAAAGTGAATCCTTGACGTAGCTAGTGATGCTTGACATTGCACTAACTTGCCCTAGTTTGCTGCTTAGAGGGAGTTCCTCGTTGTAATGCTTTGTCCTGCAAAACATGTAAAAGGGTGAAAAGTACTTGTTGTGGTTCAAAAATTATAAATTGAAATAGTAATGTAAAGAGTAGAGTGTAGATGTTCAAACAACTGTTGACGTGTCTTTTTGTGTTGTGAGTGTGATGTAGGTAAAGTAACTTGTAATGTAGAGGCCCTCGACTGGCGGGGCTGTGTAAAGCTTGTAATGTAAAGCCTCCGGCTGGCGGGGCTGTGTAAAGCTTGTAATGTAAAGCCTCCGGCTGGCGGGGCTGTTGTAATGTAAAAGCATGTACCCGGCTGTGTAAAGCTTGTACCGTAAAGCCTCTTGATGGCGGGGTTGTTGTAATGTAAAATCATGTATCCGGCTATGTAAAGCTTCTAATGCAATTTTAATTATCGGCCTATGACAGCGCTGCTATGCGTGCATATCCCCGGTCGGTGGAGCTTTAGTGATATCACTACAATGTAATCTCCGATTGGCGGAGTCTAGCTTCTTTTGCTTATATACAGGTTCCGATTTGCGGAGTTCAATCGATATTTGCTATGTACAGCCTCCGGTCTGCGGAGTTTGACGCTGTTTGCTATGTACGGCCTCCGATTGGCGGAGTTTGATGATGTTTTCTATGTACAGCCTCCGATTGGCGGAGTTTGACAATGTTTGCTATCTATGGCCTCCGATCGGTGGAGTTTGAGTGACATTTGCTATGTACAACCCTAGACTTGTGGAGTTTGGCGCTGATAGACGGTGGTCTCCGATTGGTAGAGTTGTTGATAAGGTTAGATTACAAGCTCCAGTTGGTGGAATTATTTTGAAAGAAAGCTAACTATCCTATTTTCCTATGAGGATCCTTTTTCTTCAGCATTTGGTCTGGATCTTTGAGCATACCTGCAAAATTTTAAGTGAAATGTTCTTAGATGTAAGATGCAAGTTGAAGTACTTTCGGTAAATAAAGTAGGGAAGGAGTATTTTGGCTCATTATTGTGAGAAGTCAAATGGTGTTTCTAGTCATTCCCCAAGATTTGATGGTATTTTCTTGATTTATGTGTTCCCTTCTGATGAAGCTTTCCTAGCTCTTTTGCAGACACTGCGACGATCGAGATTCTTCATATTTCGGGGTTACGTTAACTATGAGGAAGTGTCTCCTAAGGGTAACAAAGAAAAAAAATTGTGCAATGCATCGATCGAGCCTGACTCAAGCTGCCTACGTATCCTCAATGTAGGAATCAGATCGTGACGTAGTTCGAATACAAGTGGGAGAAATTGAAGTATGTAATACAATGACCGAGCTTAACTCAAGTTGCCTACGTATCCAAGTGGAATCAGGTCGTAACGTAGTTTGAATACAATAGGAAAGTGAAAAATATGGCATGCAATGACCGGGACTGACTCAGGTTGCCTACGTATCCAAGCGGAATTAGGTCAGGACGTAGTTCAGATACAACGGAAAATAGTGAAAAATATGCAAGGGAAAAGTAAGAATATGTAATGCAATGACCGGGCCTGACTTAGGCTGCCTACGTATCCAAGCAGAATTAGGTCAGGACGTAGTTCAAATACAACGAGAAAGTGAAAAATGCAAGGGACTGAATACGACAAGGATTGCATACGTATCCCACCGAGGGAATTCAGGTCGAGCGTAGTTCTAAATACATGGAAATGATGTTTTTGGGTTTTCTAAGGGAGACTGGATCCGATGTGGGTTGCCTACGTACCCCACCGTGGGGAGTCAGCTCTAGATGTAGTTCTGTTACACTGAAAATGCAAAATACCAAAAATAAGCGTAAATCTTGAGGTCTTTCGATATAGTATTTCTTGATGGCGTCTCAATTGATTGTCTTTATGCTCACTCTGCCGTCCATTTCTGCTAAGATTACCGCTCATCCGAAGAGTACTCTATGAATCATGTAGGGTCCTTGCCAATTTGGTGCAAATTTTCCTTTGACTTCTCCTTGGTGAGGAAAGATCTTTTTCAATACCAATTTCCCTGGTGTGAACTGTCAAGGTTTGACTTTCTTGTTGAATGTTTTGGTCATTCTGTTCTGATAGAGTTGGCCATGACAAACCGCGTCCATCCTCTTTTAATCGATGAGCATCAATTGTTCATGCCTGCTACGTATCCATTCTGCATCGTCCAGACCAACCTCTTGGATAATCCTTAAAGATGGTATTTCCACCTCAGCAGGTTGTACTGCTTCTGAACCATAAACCAACATATAAGGAGTTGCTCCAGTTGATATTCTAATTGTGGTGCGATAACCAAGTAAAGCATATGGTAGCTTCTCATGCCATTGCCTGTGACTGCCCACTATTTTCCTTAGGATCTTTTTGATATTCTTATTTGCAGCCTCAACTGTTCCATTCATCTGTGGCCACTGGTAAACCGTGGAATTTCGATGAGCAATCTTGAACCTTTTATAAGTTTCCTTCATAAGATCGTTGTTGAGGTTGGTTGCATTGTCTATTATGATTGATCATGGAATTCCAAAACGACAAACTATGTTGTTGCGAACAAAGTCTGCCACTACCTTCTTAGTCATTGCCTTGTATGTCGAAGCTTTGACCCATTTTATGAAATAATCAATAGCTACTAGGATGAAACGATGTCCATTAGATACGGGAAGCTCTATGGGTCGACTAACATCCATGCCCCAAGTGGCAAATGGCCAAAGGGAACCCATCACATTTAGCTCATTCGGTGGAACCCGTATAAAATCTCCATGCACTTGACACTGATGACACATTTGCATATACTGGATGCTATCTCTCTCCATGGTCATCCAAAAATATCCAGCTCTTAAAATCTTCTTTGCCAAAGTGAACCCATTCATGTGAGGTCCATATGTTCCTGCATGTATTACTTCCAAAAGCCTTGTCTCTTCTGCGGTGTCGACACACCTCAGCAATCCTAAATCCGAAGTTATCCTGTATATGATTTCTCCATTAAGGAAGAAATGATTAGCTATCCTCTTCAAAGTCCGTTTCTGTTTGCTTGTAGCATTTTCAGGATATTCTTGTGCTTCTATCAATCTTCTGATGTCATAGTTCTAGGGTTTTCCATCCAGTTCCTCATCTACATGAAAACAATATGCATGTTGATCATGTCTCTCTATATTGATAGAGTCGATGTAATTCTTGTTTGGATGTTGAATTATCGAGGACAATGTTGCCAAAGCATCGGTAAACTCATTTTGAGCTCGAGGGACATGCTTTAACTCAATCTTTGTAAATCTCCTACTTAAATCTTTTATGTAATGCAAATAAGGAAGGATCTTGATATTTTTAGTGGCCCATTCTCCTTGCACTTGATGAACCAACAAGTCGGAATCTCCTATCACCAAGAGTTCTTTGATACTCATGTCTATGGCCATCCTGAGTCCGAGAATACAAGCTTCATATTCCGCCATGTTATTGGTACAGTAGAACCTAATCTTGGCTGAGATTGGGTAATACTGACCTGTTTCCGAAATTAAGACTGCTCCAATTTCAACTCCAATAGAGTTCGATGCTTCATCAAAGAACATCATACATCCATCATACGACTCTGATACGTCTTCTCCTACAAACAAACCTTCTTCATCAGGGAAGTAGGTTGTGAGCGGCATGTAATCTTGGTCCACCGGGTTTTTTGCGAGGTAATCTGCCAGGGCTTGTCTTTTGATGGCCTTTTGTGTCACGTACACGATATCAAACTTGCTCAACAAAATTTGCCACTTTGCCAGCTTACCTGTAGGCATTGGTTTCTGAAAGGTGTACTTGAGTGGATCCATTCTTGAGATCAAGTACGTGGTGTATGCAGGAAGGTAATGCCTAAAGTTTTGGCAATCCAAGTCAAAGCGCAACATGTTCGTTCCAACAAGGTGTATCTTGCCTCGTACGGTGTGAACTTCTTGCTCAGATAGTAAATGGCTTGCTCTCTTCTGCCCGTCTCATCATGCTGCCCCAATACACATCCAAATGCATTATCCATAACAGGCAAGTATAATAACAAAGGCTTCTAGGCTTTGATGGGACCAATACTGGTGGGTTGGACAAGTACTCTTGGATTCTGTCAAAAGCCCTTTGGCATTCCTCTGTCCATTTTGTGGCAGCATACTTCTTCAGTAATTTGAATATGGGTTCACAGATCACTGTAGATTGAGCTATGAACTGACTGATGTAATTCAGTCTTCTTAAGAAACTCATCACGTCTTTCCTGGTCTTAGGTGGAGGTAGCTCTTGGATTGCTTTTATCTTTGATGGATCCAACTCTATGCCTTTCCTGCTAAGGATGAATCCCAATAGTTTTCCCGTGGTACTCCAAATGTACACTTTGCTGGATTCAACTTCAGATTATACTTACTCAACCTCTCAAAGAACTTTCGTAAGTCATCCAGATGGTCTGAACTTCTTTTGGATTTGATAACGACATCATCCGCGTATACTTCAATTTCCTTGTGGATCATATCGTGGAAAAGGGTAGTCATGGCCCTCATGTAGGTTGCACCGACATTTTTTAGACCAAATGGCATTACTCTGTAGCAATACACTCCGCATAGAGTAATAAACGATGTCTTCTCTCCATCATCTTCATCCATCAAGATTTGGTGATATCCTGCAAAGTAATCGACAAATGATTGCAACTCATGTTTTGCACAATTATCGATGAGTATATGAATATTTGGAAGAGGGAAATCATCCTTAGGACTGGCCCTGTTGAGATCTCGATAGTCCACACATATTCTGATCTTTCCATCATTTTTGGGAACCTGGACAATATTATCTAACTATGTGAGGTAATTTGTAACCCTCACAACGTTCTCCTCAATTTGTTTAGTTACCTCCTCCTTGATCCTTAAACTTAAATATGGCTTAAATTTTCTTGTCTTTTGCTTAACAGGTATACAAGTGGGATCAGTTGGTAATTTGTGCGAGACAATATCGGTGTTTAATCCTGGCATGTCATCATAAGACCAAGCAAATACGTCAGCATACTGCTTAAGCAATTCTATTAACTCTTAGTTTCTTTCAGCCTCCAAATGTATGTTGACTCGTGTCTCCTTCACGATTTTCTCATCTCCTAAGTTGACAACCTCTATTTCATCCATATTGGGTTTCTTCTGACTTTCAACCTACTCGATCTCGTGTGGTAGGTTATCCGACATCATGCTTTCATCATACTCTACGTGATCTTGTTCATCGCTTTCACCTTGCTCGGTGGATTCGTTACATGTCATAACCGTTGAACGAGGATTTTTATTAATATGAGTGCTGAAAAGTGCAAAAGGTAAGTAAAAATAAATAGATATTTAAATAACGAGAAATTTTTTTTAAAGAAAATAAAGACTTTTTATTTCAAAGCATTCTAGCTTTTAGAAGAGGCAAGCAACAAAAGATTAGGCATGATTCAAGCCTCAATTTGATCATGCGAACTTTTAAAATTAAGACTACTTTTCCACACTACCAAGACTCCGGTTGAAACAGGGATGGGCTGATGGTCCAATTCTGCAAGATTTCTCCAGGTTCAGCATCACGAATGGTCAACTTGTTGAGATTTATCCTTTCCTCTTCACCGGCCATGGCCACGAACAGATTGCCTATTCCTTCTACGATGTCATCAACGCCAGCTTGATCTGGAATCAAAGCTTGCTCTGGTACGAAGATTGTATCCCTTACCCCCGGTGGAATCTTTCCAAGGCAGGCTCGTATCCGAGTCCGTTGGTGCCTTTCTGATGCTTCAGTTGGATTGGCTCAACTATACCGTTGGACTTGGGTCCAAGTCCACTCTTTGGCCGATACCCATACTTCAACATTTCTGACGCAACCATTTTTGCTGCACTTGACAATTTGGTATCTTCGGGCTCTGCTTCTTCATTGACCCTTATAGCTTGCATGATTTTCAAAGTGTGAAAAGTGTCTCCGTTTAACTCGTCGGTGACTGGGATAGAATTAACAGAATGAATGGGATGATTGAGCTCTTCGTGGACGGTAACTTCTGTGCGACCCCACTCAACCTTTACACTTTGATGAAGAGTGGAAGGAACCGCTCTTGCCATGTGAACCCAGGTCTTCCCAACAACAAGTTGTAGTTGGATGATACATCCATCACTTGAAATAGAATGAGGAATTCAGATGGCCCCATCTGTAATGTGAGATAGATCTCTCCGATGACACTACTTTGTGCTCCATCAAAAGCTCTAACTTTCACATGACTTTCCCTTATCTCTCCCATATTAACGCATAAATCTCTCAAAGTGGTGAAATGACAGATGTTGCTCCCAGAACCACTATCAATTAAAACTCGAGTCATAATTTTATCACGACATTTGACTGTGATGTGAAGCGCTTTGTTGTGACCAGCCCCTTCTGCAGGCAACTCATCATCGTGGAAAGAAATCTTGTTAGTTTCCACTATTCTTCCAATCGTTGCAGCTAAGGTCTCACTTGTGGTCTCTTTTGGAATGATCACTCCGCTTAATACCTCCATAAGAGCATTCCTATGAGCTTCAGAATTCATAAGCAAAGACCAAATGGATATGTGGGCTGGCGTCTTCTTCACCTGTTCTTCAACCGAATAGTTTTTAGACTGCATCTTGTTCCAAAACTCTGCGACTTCAACATCGGTAACATTCTTTCTTGGATTCTGTTCTTTTCCGAGAACTCTTTGATTTAGATCCTCTGGGGCATAACACCTCCTCGACCTAGTCATTCATTGAGCCACGACAGTGTCGATCATCTTGCCCTTGGCACCTGCTCGATAGTCCCAAGGGACTGCTTTGGTGTCATACTCAGGGCTTTCTAGCAATTAGAGTGGTCACTACAACTCGTGGGATATATGTTTGGATAGTCAAAGGTTCCCTTAATTGAACAGTGATAACAGGTTGTGCCGAAGATGTCATGGCATCTGCTTCATCTATGTTCGGATAGTCGGGGTCCCCCATATTCGTCCTCTAGAGTAACCATGTTGGAGTCCCGATTCTCATGGTTTGACAAGGGGTTGTTGTTCACATTGGGAGGTGCTGGAGTGCATTTGATTACTCCTTTCTTGATCAAAGATTCGATCTGGTTCTTCAAACCATAACAATCTTCTGTGTCATGCCCTTGGACTCCCGAGTGGTAAGCGCATCGCTTGTTTCCATCAAAATTACAAGGGATTGGATCAGGAAGTTTTCCTTCAGCTGGTTGCAGCACTCCCGCTGTCCTCAACCTTTCAAACAATTGGGCGTATGGTTCGGCAATTGGTGTGTAAGTGCGAGCATTTCTAGCTTCAGGATTTGGACGTCGGTGCATATGCTAGTCTATTTTGGTGGATTGGTGCTTGGACAGGGACATATGGTCTTGGAAGATTTTGGTATGCTGGTGCTCGGTGTGGATTATAGTGTGGTTGGGTATTATACACTGAGAAGTATAAAGTATGCAAAGCGATTTTGGGGATTATTGGGGTATCGGTGGGATGGTCCTCCTTGTTGGTAAGTGACAGCTGAAACATCATCCCTTTTCTTTTTGATTCCGCCAATGGAACCCGATTGTATAGCCCTACTTACAGCTTGCAATGCGACCATAGACTGAATCTTCCCAGATTTCACACCCTCCTCTATAAAGTCTCCCATCTTGACCAATTCTGCAAACTTCTGACCTATCATTGACATCATCTTGTCAAAGTAGATACCTTCTTGAGCTTGAATAAAGTACTTCGATAGCTCACTCTCATCTAGTGGTGGTTGCACCCTTGCGGCCTTAGTTCTCCAACGTCGTGTATATTCCTGGAAATTCTCAAATGGCTTCTTTTGTATATTGGCCAATGAGAATCTGTCAGTAGTAATTTCAGTATTGAATCTGAAACGACTCATGAAGTCCTCATCCATTTCCTGCCTGTCATGTCATTTGCGAGGGTCTTGGCGGGTATACCAGGTTAATGTTTCTCCAGACAGACTCCGAATGAACAACTTTATCCTCAACTTCTCATTTCTCCCTACACCGACTTACTTTTCACAGTATGCCCTTAAGTGTGCGTGAGGGTCACCCTTTCCATCGAACATGTCAAACTTCGGTGGTTTGTACCCTGTCGGCATGTCAATGTCTGGATGGATGCACAAGTCATCATAATCCAGATTCTCTGTCCCTCTAGTGACTTGTAAGCTTTTCAATGCTTTTCTCAGACCCTGAAGCTGGGCATTTATCGATGCATCTTCTTTCAACCGAGCATATTTCTCTATTTCTTCATATTGATCAACCTCGTATGGGACATTAACCACAACTTGCATAATGAAGGTAGGAGCTCCAGCGGCATATACGGGTGGAACATGTGTCTCATAGGGAGCGGCGACATGTGCCCTAAGTATCGGCTGCATTGTAGGTATGGTAGAAAGGTCAGGAATGGTCCTGACTGCAGTTGGAGAAGCTGGTGGAACTCTACCGTGAGTATGAGCGTGTTGAGTCAGTTCTGGCTGATTTGGTAAGTCGGCAGAAGGCAAGTCAGCCTTTGGCAAGTAGATAGGTGTCTTGAAAGTAGGGAAAGTGGTCGCCAATAATTTGGCCAAGTCTCGCACTTGACGCAATTCTTCCCTCAAGATCTCGAGTTCTTATTCCATGTGAGTCATTTTCTCCTCATTTTGAATGTTAGCTATACTTCGAGAACTTTCGGGATTCTCAATAGGTACTATTATGTTTACGGCAGCATTGAACTCGTCTTTATCAGTCATTTTTTCCCTTTGATCGAAAGTTGTATCGTGACTCAACCAGTTTTCAAGTCGACACAAATCAACGTACTTTTGGGGATAAATAAAGAAAA